GGCATCCGCTGCTTTGACTCCTCTTTGGTTACACCATTCACAAATGGAACCCAAGTTTCCACGCCAGTTATTCATACGGAGTGACTGAGAATTTCATCCCTAACTTTGTGGTATATCTCTAAATAATTCAAGGCTGAAGATATTCTCTCTGTTTTGTTTGTGAACATATATTCGCTCACCTTTGAACATACTACAACATTGATCTACAGTTTCTTCACTCATTATATTTTGCCCGTAAACTGCGAATTATTCACGAATATTTTTGCAGCACACTTGTATTATCACGAAGGAAGGAGTAACTGCGATTTTCGTATCTGGCCGAAATATAATTCGCAGGGTACATAATAACTCAAAATGTAGAGACAAAAACAAACAGAAACTGACCAGTTTTGTGACGCTACTTCGCATGCGCCACCTCTCCCCCGCTCCTTCATTATTTTCTTAATTTAAACGGATGTTACTTTCTGAATATTCCTCGCATTACAGTGCCAACGAAATATACAACATCGCAAAAGTACGTGAAATGTTTGGTTCTGACTGCGTTGAATATTAATATTACCGTCTTCTTGAATGTGACGACGTATAGCCTTGAAAGTGTTTCTCGAATATACGGAATAACCAACTATCCCATATTTGGGGAGGANGTGGATGATTATCGGAAATCACCAGCTCCAGAACACGTAATTTTATAGAAGAGCGCGCAGAAGTAATGAGGACATAACAGGACAAGTAACTTGCCTTCAAAATAACTAAGTGTATTTTCTTTACAGTTTCTAATATGTCTTCGTGCCGAATTTTTGCCTGATTTTGAGAGGAGTAACAAGAAATATGCAACCCCAAAAATTTCAAAATTAATTTTCTGTTGGAGTTACCTGGCTTTATAAATCACTTTTTAAATTTTTACTAATATTCGAGTTTTCGATGTGGCGTTGAAGAGATACTGAATTTAAAAACAAATTTGCAGTGTTACTGAAATATAAATTCAGTGAATCAATCATCATCAGTAATCTGTCAAGACGACAGGTCCACTCTCTTCCAAAACAGTTCCTGCACTTGATGCGATCTAGAGCATTCTCCTTCAAATGAAAATATCCTCTTCTGTCCCCAGGGTCATCCAACATCTTCTTACGTCTTCTTCCTCGTCTTCTGGTCACTTCTATC